TATAATCACAAATACATTTTGAAAAGTTTTGAGGCAATTAATTTTTCGTAACTTTATTATAGCATCTTCCTTTTAGTACAAAGAATAAACCTGCCCTTGCTATAGGAATGACAGTGTTCCTTGCTTCGGGTTTTTCTATCCCCTTCGTTGGTAAGAATTATTGTTATCTAAATAAAAATATATTTACGTAATTTTTATTGATATAAACATATATTTTTAAGGTGCATGGTGGCAACTGTATGTATTTAATTGTGTTTGAAGCATATTTGTCCTTGGCAATTTATTTGACCTTCAATGCGCTTTTGATAGTCATAAAGCAGGGAAACCCTTATATAGGCCTGGCCCACCACCTGAGTAGGATCTTGATCGAACCTTTGTTTGAATTATGAAATTGTATCAAGTTTGGGTTTGGAAATCGGGATTCCTGTTTTTTTTTTGGGATAATGATCAAAACCCACATAAATGCACCGTTTTCGGTCAATAATGTCAATCTCAAAAATCAATAAAATTTTTATGGTTCTAATAACTGGTAAATATTAATCAACTAGTCTAATTGTTATATTGTTATATATATCGACTAGATTCTTCAGGATCGATTACTATCACTAGTCTAATAGTTATATCGAATATGTACTGTACACAATAAGTGAAAAATAATTTCAAAAGTGAAAAACTTTTATACCGAAATAAACTTTGAAATGTAAATGATCGATTTTTTTGAGCAGATTTCTTGGAATGCCTAATAAATTTATAAAAGCGAAATATCTAATAACGACGATATCTTATCTGGGCTGCCGTCAATAGAAATCAAACAGATTTAAAAAGAATTAATCTCTATCTTGATGAATTAATATTCAAAAGAAAGTCTAGATCTTAATCTTTCTTTTGAATATTAATTCATCAAGATAGCCTAGATTAATTTTTTTTATAACAATCAGCTTGACTTCTATTGACGGCAGCCCATATGATCCTCTCCAATGCTATAATTAATTAAAAAGAGTACTATAGCATTCTCACACAGAAATCTATAAAAGTAAAGGCTAATTATTTTGTTTGACATGAGTACGTATATAATCAGACTAGGTAATTATTTATATTATGATTTTAAAATTTGTTAATGATCTTATAAATTACAAAATATACATCACAGAATAGATATATCTTTAATATTGTGCTGCTGTCAATAGAAATAAGGCAGGTTGACATTTTTAAAAAAAAATCTATACCTCAACTTTCACAGCTCATACCTCGATGAATTTTGAAGCTATTTTTAAGCTTTCTTTTGAATATTAAATCATCAAAATTCATCGAGATATGAGCTGTGAAAGTTAAGGTATAGATTTTTTTTTAAATGTCAATCTGCCTGATTTCTATTGACAGCAACCCATATGTAGTAACTGCATAACGATATATGTATATAAATATATATATTATTAAATTTATATAGTCACTATGTTGTTACTATGCAGTTACTGTAAATTAAGATAAAATATATCAATTTTATTATTCTTATAGGGAGAATCCTAAACTAATTTTTATGTGGGGTTATTAGTCGTAAAATAAATTAATGTTAAAAGCGGTTGACATTAGAGACATTTTGCGAAACTTAGTAAATACTACTTGAGATTTTACCTAATTCCAAACTAATAGGTCTGGGTCACTAATCATAAGATTATTGTTTTTCTGTAGCTCATTCTTATAATAAATACGTGACCATAATTTCAAATTTCATAATTTCAATTATATACTTCACATACTATATATATATATATATATATATAGTAATTATAATACAAAATTGATACTAATTACATTAATTAGAAAATGCAACTTTTACATCATTAAATAATAAATTTAATCCTCATCGTCATAATCAGCGCTTACTAAAGACATAGTATGTACATTAACATCTGAACGAAATAACAAGTTATAAGAATATGTTCAATAACAAACAATTAAAATTTTAAAAATGAACAATACCTTGACTTTTTACAATCTCTTGTTTATCTGTCACTTGATTTCCATTCGGTCTGCTCGCATCTTTTTTCTTTATGAGGATTAAATCACTATTGATTTCACCACTTTTACCAATCACAGTACCGCCACCATTCCAATCGTTATCTTTGAGAAATGGATCCGTTTTAAGTTTGGTGTTCACGGAAACAATATTTGATAACTCTGCTACTTTGCTTTTTGATCCATCAGCATGAAATCTTGATTTTTTAATTTTTGATGATGGTTTATTAAATATTGAGGAAGTGTTTATTTCAAGCTTGCGTTTTTGTGCTTGTTCGAGAAGATGATCTAAACGAAATTAGTCAACATATTTAGTTAATATATACATATATGCACACAAAAATTTTTACATTACATTATACTTAAAGTACCTGTGAATTCTGTTGACTTGGCTTCCATGATGTCTTCAGAAGATTCAGGCAATAATGGAATCGATAGTGAATTCCGATCGCGTATTTCATCATCTAATCGTTTTTTAGCTTCCAGTTCCTTTTTTTCCTCCTAAATAAAATAAGAAGACATGTTTGAATCGATCCTTGAATAAATTATTACAAATAAAGAAACAATTACCCTAAATTTTTTACGCATTTTTTGAGAATGCGTGTACGGATCGGCCCATTGTCTTTCGTTCAATCTCTTTACACAATAATAACCTTCTATTACTACGATAACATTTTAATATTTTTTAATATAGAAAGTTCACTAGATATTTCTACCTGAAGCTGCGTCAATATCGGAATAGATTCTTGAAATTTTCTTTCATCATTAATAGAATGTTCAAGCTTATATAACGCGTTATCGGCCAATTTTTTAGCTTCCTCCTCATCTAAAATCCAGAGAGAAATTTTAAAACAAAGAAATTAATAGAGTTAACGGTACAACAAAAGTCTTACCTTTGAGTTGAATAGTTTCGGAATCTTCTGGCTCCCATGTCTCAATTTTCTTACGAGCACCACTAACGACCACATATTCAGCATTCTATATTTATATTTATATTTATATAAAAAAGCTTAATATTTCATTAATAAACAAAAGAATTCAAAAAATCAACTAACCTTTGGATCTGTGTGAATTTCAATCCAATTATCACACAAATGACATTTCATTCGAAAGCTATATATTGGTGTACTATAATAATTTCCAATTTTCTTCTTTTCGGCATTGTATCGAACCCCTAGTAAAAAACGGATGTTTTTAAAAAAAGTTCTTTTTAAAGGATATTCGAATTGTAATAGTAAAAACAAGAGAAAATTTCTCACCTTTTCCGACATGTTTATCACAACCATCACACCAGATGTTGAAGGGTAGTTCGAATCTTAGGGTTTTTTAACCATATTTATACGAGGTTGTATCAATGGCCAAAACTTTTTAAGTTACAAGCTTTCCAATTTATTATATCGAACCGTGATAAATATTTTGAATCTTATTCAAGGGATCCAAACCTGACGATTAAAATTCCTTGACTAATTTTACGAGCTCTGTCTCCAAGCGGGTGTTTTCCCACAAATTTGTTTACCGATCCCTAAAAAATAAATAACAATGGTAAAATTACAACGATCCAGATTGAGACAGCACTTCACCTTTATTCATTGTTACCTTTTCTGGGACCCAGTCTGGTGGATAGTACTTGTTGAACGGTTGCATGTTTTTTTAATAAAGAATAAGAAATTTTTGCTTTCTGAAATGGTCAAAACGAATAATTAATTATTTTGAATTGCAACTATTGTTGTTTTAAACTAAATTTCATTATCACGTGAAAATCAACAGTAAATTTTTCAGTGTTACTTTGAGGACGTTCACATCAACTTAAAAACATCGTAAAAAATTTTTATAACAACAACTGAAAAAAAACATGACTCTAGCTCCGATTACGGGTAAACTTCGCAAAAGGCTTATATTTGACATCTCCGCTGCTTTAGGTTTGGGCACTGTTTCTGCATATGCCTATTGGTACGGGATCCATATTCCTGCTGTTCGTAAAAGAGATTTCTTTTACGCAAAACTTGCTCAAGAAAAGTCGCAATAAAGTATTAAACGTTAATAAATCTTATGCAAAATATTTTAGCAAGATTAACTGAAATTATATCTATTATATTTTTATTATTAGTTGACATTTTAAATGAAAACTTATTAACATCCAAAGTTAATATGCAAAACAAAGATATCTTTCAAACTTTCGTCTTGTGTTTTTACTATAAATACGGCTTTTCATATTCTAAATAAAAAAATTTTTTGACGATATATTAAAGATATACACTTTCGAGTTTAGTAAAACACACCATTGGTGTTCAACACCACAGTTGCTATATTCGAAACTAAGTGATTAATACATGGTTATTTCTAAGTAAAAATGTTTAGCACCTCCAAAACCTCCTTGACTCTAACCCCTGGCTCTAGCCTTACCTTATAACAACACCCTAATTCTAAATTATTATAAAATATATGGTGTCGAACACCACTGGTGCGCTTTAGTAATATTTATACTTCATACTTTATAATTATTAAAACAAATATTTAACTAATCTATATAATTAAAATATTAAAAAAATTCCCATCAAGCCGTTTAAACAAATAAAATTTTTAAAAAGTCAAATCATTACTAGTTAATGAAACTAATAGTTAATATTAACCGCAAGACAAATTATTAGCAATCAACTATAACGAAACATAAAAAAAAAACCAAATATTTTAGTCCAGCAGGATGGGCACTTTGCATCGTATAATAGATTATCATCATCTTTCAAAAGCCGAAAAATATTTCCAAGTAACAATTTACATGGGATGATATTTAGTATAAGATAGATGCCTTTCCTCATTTTTCAGATGAATAATGAATAATCATCCGAAAACCCCCCCCGAATAAAATTATTATATATCGTATTTGATAGTTATTGGGGGCTTATCATAATGGGCACAAAACAAGATCCCATGAACATCTCATGAACGATATAAAACACATCATTCCATCAATCTGAACCCCCACTCGAAGCTATACAGCTCCAAACCATTATGCTTCCACCTCCAAATTTTTTGATCTCACTAACATAAGCACGTTTTAATTTACCTTCCTTTTTTCTCTAGCAAAATTTACCCAAAAAGTACGATTTAGCTTTCATCGGAAAAAATAATCTTCTTCCAATCATCAGCAGTCTAGTCAAGATGCTTTTTGGCAAAGTTAAGGCGTTCTAATCTGGCTTTTTCATTTATTACAGGTTTTCTAGGTTTAATCCTGGTTTTATAACCACATCTTAATGTCGAGTACTTCTTTTACATCATTGGGTGATAGGATTTCAGATTTTTTTCGATCTTTGATCTCTCTTGTTCCCTTCTCTTTTACAAGTTTTAGATACCGTTGAAGACTCAACTAGAGTTTGGAACCGGTTTTATTTTTCATGTTAAAACCGGGTTTAATCGGTTTTAACATATGAAAAATAAAACCGGTTCCAAACTCTAGACTCAACACCTAATGACTCCCCTATTTCTCGTGTTGAAAAATCCAACACTCTGAATTGAACGATTACTTTGTATTTCTTTTTTAGATATTCGTTTTCTTGTTACATTTGGTTTAAATATTTTAGATTTTGCTTTTTGGATATTTCAGGTACTTGTTTCATTTTAATAAAAGAAATTTTATAATGTTTTGAAAATTATTAAACATAAAAAGTGATGAATTTAAGAAAAGCAAGAGATTGCTGCTTTTATAATTTATGATATTTTATCGATATAAACTACTCTTTGTTATTCTCTTATGTATTACGTTACTAGTAGGGTTGAATTGGGTAAATAACAATTGATAAATTGAAAGCCTAATTCTT